CAAACACACAGCATTGTCTTGCTCCGAATCTGTCTGGTTTTGCAGTCGATGTTGATGGTTGTCCCGGATTAACCCATGATTTTTTCCGTTTAGGATTCTTAAAATAAATCCATTTTTCATCGCCAGTAACAATCCGATGCAAAACCGATTTTCTTTCGTGTCTTCGAAGCAAAATTTCACAAGTGTTTTTTCGGTTTTCCATCTGTCTTTCATTCAATTCATGTGGCACCCATTTTCCACACTTTTGGATCTTTCCCATAGCTTCTAAATGTTCAGAAATTGTTTGTTGTGCTACATTTAACATTTCTGCCATTTGCTTTTGACTCAAAGTGTCATCTCCATCCAATATCGTTTGCAAATCGGCGTCTTCAAACTTTTTTGGTGGTCTTCCACGTTCTTCATTTCTCACATCAAAATCATTATTTCTGAACCGTTGAAACCATCTTTTGCATGTTGCTTCTGATAGAGCACGATCACCATATGCCTGGACAAGCATTCGATGCAACTCTGCAGCACTTTTCTTCAAATGAAAACAAAAAATTAATGCTTTCCGCAAATCATCACTTTCCGGTACAAAATTCGACATTTTTAACACGATGAAAAAATATGATGTTGTTTGTTCAATGACTTGATGTATACTAAATATGTTTCACAGATGTCATAGCTAACAAAACAAAAAAATAAAGGCTCGTTCACAACAAATGTTCCCTATCGAGACATTTGTATCTTGACGCTCACTTCATACCGGTATACCTGGTAAGTAAAAAAAACAAGTGCGTTTAAACTTTCTGTACAAGGTGTATATATATATATATATATATATATATATATATATATATATATATATATATATATATATATATATATACTAACATACTTCTGCTAAATTAGTCTATAAAATTTAGATTTGATATATATATATATATATATATATATATATATATATATATATATATATATATATATATATATATACTTACATACTTCTGCTAAATTAGTCAATAAAATTTAGATTTGATCTCTAATGAATATACATGCGTATATAAAATATTTGGTGGAAAAAAACATTAATTAGCTGCATACAAAATTTTAACACCTTAAAAGTGTATTTATTTAAGTAATTTTTTGTGCAACATTAAGATTCATTTTTCGCAAGCAATACATAATCTTGATTTCCAAATGGCAAACATTATGAGCAGCTCATTTACTACTATCAACAGCCCAGCTATTTATATGCACTTCTGATTTAAGAAATGCTCGAAAATCCACAATAAAACAAATTACATATTTAACAGTTGTAATGTATCAAAATAATCATTCATTTACCATTTAAACTTACCATTTAAACCTTATTTTTCAGAGATGGTGTGATTAACTTAGATTAGCAGAAAAAAGCAAAGTGTAAACGAGGTGGAAAAAATCACTGTGTTTTTGTGCAAAATTATCAACTTAACACAAAATCACAAAGATATCCTCAACATAATTCACTAATTGCATTTTTACTACTATAAGTCAATGCCATATGGCATCACCAAGACATTAACGGTTAATTTCACACTTATTGGGGTATATTGTTTGTTGAGACCCATTCCACTTGGTCTAATGTTATTTAAATTATTAAAACCTTTTGGTATATAGCCAAAAAAAACTTTACAGCTTTTATTTTATCTAACGTACACAGACTTCAATTTATGTAATGTTAAAACATACTTAAACATTTATCAAAATTTACAGTTTGGCTATCACTTGAAAATTGCATTGCGTCAACCTCTACTTAATTTTGATCTATAGCATTTATTTCTGTTAAAAAAAAAATTATTATATAGTTTTTGAATTTGTAAATCAATGTGCCAGTATGGCCGAGTAGTTAGCGTGCAGAGCTTCTGAACAAAAAAACCATGGTTCAAGTCCTACCATTGACATGTTTTTTTTTGAAAATTTTTTAGATTTTTAAACATACAAAATACTTGTGAAGTTTTACAGAGATTATATACAAACATATGTAACAATGTTTTACACTTTACCAATTAAAAAAATATTCAAAAAAGCTAAATATTCCAAAAACATCAAAAAATTGGGGGAAATTTGTTGCGTATGTGTCATGATTGAGATACTTGTGGTATTTTAGTTTTACATTTAAGTTATTTTATAACTAAGTTGAGTTTGTGCAAGAAAAATGAGTATAGAACATGTTTATATATAATATCAATAAAATCTATAGAACTATAAAGTTGTTTTGTTTTGCATTTTAAATAACAAAAGTAAAAAAAAAAAAACAAGCCTATGATTTGATCCACAGCCACTCAGCGACTTTTACTCTCTTTAAAACAGTTTTAATAACAATTTTTTAAAACAGGTTTAAAAAATTCATTTTTAATAAGATCGTAATTGAAAATTCTAATTTTATATTTAAATTATAAAATTTAATATTTTTAAAAATTATTAAAAGTTAAAATTATTTATCATTGATACAATAAGAAAATTTAGAGTTTTACAGCTATTTTACCACACCCCCGTTAAACATTCTAAATCAAGTGCGCTACAACAGCAGAAGTTAGATAACCATCAAAATAGTATACTCCATTATTTTTTTGCTTAACTATTAGATTAGGGATTGAACATAAATTATGTAACGCTAAATTTCACTAATGAACAAAACAAAATCAAAATATTCCCTCACAGAGTAAGTTAAATAAAATATCGCCACCTAAAGGAACTTAAGATCTCTTTCTTCTGTTTTAAAAATATATTTAGCGTTGCATAATTTATGGACCTTAGCCTTTTATAATCTATAGCTTTTAATGGTCTAAGATCTTCTGTCATTTGTTTAGTGTTGCGTACAATCGTCTGTAAGTGTAAACATCTTTAGCATATATTGAGCTGCAGGCATTATATGGAACAATCTTAAATAATAAGTAAAAATAAGTAAATAATAGTCTATAAAAATGAGAAAACTTTTATGTTAACAAATTTATTTTAACAATTAGAAAATTTTTTGGCTATATTATTTTTGTTTTGCTATAAATATTGCTATAATTATTATAGATATATACTATATAATAAAAATTTTGCTATAAATAATGTTATAAACACAGCAAAATTGAAAATTATTCAAAATTTGTTAGGGAAGGTCTTTAATCTCCCAAAACAACAGTGATGACAGTGCACTAAACCACTGAGCCATCAATGATATGCAAGAAAAACAAACCTAATTATAAATCTCTCATAAGCGCTAGAAATGCAGAGAAGGAGCGCATGTTTTTTTAACTTTAAGAGCAATTTTTTTGCTTATAAAGCAATATTTTTTTATAATAAAGCAATATTTTTAGGTAAAATGGATTTTTTACGTAAAAATATCGAAGAAAACAAATAATAAATATAGAAATGATCGGTGTGGAATAGATAAGTATAGAAATGGTAGGTTTGGTAAAGACCCACATTTAATGGGTCCGGAAAGCTAGAATATATATAAGGAAAAAGTATAGAAAAGCTCGATGTGGAATAGACTTACAAAACCCATATTTTTATGGGTCAGATCAACTTAATAATCTCAAAACAATTTAATGATTAGAATTGAATTTTTTTGCAGTAGTCCTTTACTCTTCAATTTGGACAAGAAAATGTCTAAATATCATAAAATCACTTTCTAGTGATATTAATTACAACATCAAATCAATCAACTTTTTGAACTATATTATTTCATTACTGGAAAACAGATGACAAATAATTTTAACTGTTTGACTGATATGAATATTATGAACCAAAGTACATTGATCTTAGTTTTAGCAAAACTAAATACATTTATTGTCAAAGCAAAACTGTGAGTCTAAATACCTTTTAATTGTGAGTCTAGACTGTGACCTTTAGTGCATGTGTTAAATAAAACAAGGTTTAATCATGTTGTCAGGCTGTCTCTTGTCATGTTGTCAAGCTGTCTGTTGTCATGTTGTCAGGCTGTTTGTTGTCATGTTTTCATGTTGTCTGTTTGACATATTGAGAAGTCCACTTGGATCCCATTCATCTTTTTTAAGCAGCCTTCTGTCCTCTTTTTATCTTCTCTTTATAGTTTACCTCTCTCTTGGTAATTATTCACACAGGTTAATATAATTAGTCACCATCTAATGTAGATAACAGATTTACATAACATATTTGATTTAGTTTGTCTGTCATTAAATTGGTTAGTAAGTATACTTTTCTTGAAGTAAATAGGTAAATTATGAACCTTTTATGGCAGACCAGGTAGGTTCTACAGAACAGACAACAAGGATAGTTTAGGTTTCAATTTAGTGGCAGAGTATTCATATTTTTATCAGTGGGCTCAATTTAACCTCTTGCCCAGTCAGTAGTGTGGTTGAATTCCTTGATTTAAATTTTTTTACTCAGGATTTTGCAAATAAAATTGTTTTTTATGGAGTTTAAGCATTAAGAGAGGATATAAAAAAAGAATAAAAAAATAAATATAGATTAAATAAATATCTAGATATAGATAGATCTATTTACAAATATTATTTCTTTCAAAAATTTTTAACTTTAAATTTAGAGGCATAAATGGAATTAAGGAGATTTGTTGGAACCATATAAAGATATATTTGTTGGAATCTGATAAACTTTAACAATTTTGCTTTAACAATAATTCAAATAAAGTTTCTAAACCAAAAGTTTACAAATTTTAATTTACAAATCAAAATTAATGTCTTTATTTATATTTTATATTATAAATTTTGAAAAAAGTTGAAAAGCTCATGAAATGAAAATTAACTATAGTCAATAAATTATTTTATCTTCTAGGTAAATTCTAACTTAGCTATTCGAATGCACCATAGATGACTTCATAGCTCCACTAAAGGAGCTAATATTAGATCACTTTATAGTTCCACTAAAAGCAATAATAATAATGTTTTATAAAGTCTTATAGACTTTATAAGATACAAAGTTACATTTACAAAATCAAAAATTACACTTAATTAATAAAAAATATTTTGAAGTTAAATAAAAAATACCTGAACATAAATGTCTGGATATTTTGTGAAGGCGTTATAAACTCCAATAACTCTTATAAGTAGTGCAATTGAATAATTTTTACTCGTGCTACCAGGGCCCAATGCAAAATCTATCAACATTGGATCATCAAGAGATTTTGCATTCAACAATGGGTAACCTATATCACCATTTGTTGTCATGGTGTATTTCTCTGCAATTCCAATGTCATAAAAGAATTGATATCTTAAGACACTGTTCTCTTCATCTGTCCAATCTTGGCAAATGATTTTAAATTTTGTAATAATAGCATATCCTTGTTGAGGGCTAAAAGTAAACAATGACATTGACATAAACAATGACTAGATTTTAAGAACTATTGCAGTTTTACCACAAACAAATTAAGTCTAGCGTAAGCATCATTAGATATGCTGATTTTTTAAATTAATTTAGACACACTTGTAATTTTATGAAATTTTTTTGTTGATTTAATACAGTTGAAATTATCAAAATTATAAATTGAAATAAATAGTTTATTCATAGTAAAAATAGATTTATTTTTAAACTTATTTGTATCTGATAATAACAACATTTACAAAAAGAAATATCAATAGGTATTATTTAATTTATTTGCACACATAGTTGAAACATAATACAATTAAAAAATAATAACAAATTTAAAAGCAATTAAAAATAGACACAATTAAATGTCAACATTTACATTGTGTCTTTTTGCAGCATTTATGTAGTCTCCTAAAGTTTTATAACATTAGTGTGTTCCAAAAAAAACAAAGTTTAAAAATGTCAATCTCCCTGGCTGTTTTCTGATAATGGGTAGCGTAAAAACCCTTTTAAAAAATTTCAAAACCTTTGTCCCGATTCCCCCTAAAATATTTAATTTTTGGTTTTTTCAAAGATTTTAAATTAATTTTATTCTTTAAGTTTTTTTTAATAAACAAACAAGTAAACTCAGTTTAAATTTTTATTTTATGCATATGTTCAGAATAAAAAACAAAGGCCATTATAACAAGTTTAACATGGGAATTAAAACATCATAAGTATTACTGATTTTTTCATTTTTATAGGTATTTTTATATACATTAAAATACATCAAAAGCATATCAAAATTTTAGTAATTAGCTGTGATTTATTTTTATGCTCATATGTGTCAATTGCTTAGGGATCGTCCATAAAGTACGTCCATAAAGTACGCTCGGAGAGGAAGAGGAGGAGGTTTCTGAGATAAGGGGGCAGTAGGTCAATTATAAAGGTATGGAGACACTAAATTAAAAAAATATCATAAAATGTTCAGTTAGTAGGTTAAAAGCATAGGTACTTTTAGGGAGGTAGAGAGTACTCAAAAAAAGCGTACCGTAAATTGCAGGGGGGGAGGGGTTGGCAAAAAAAAAGCGTACGTACTTTATGGACAACCCCTTATTTGAATAAGCTATTATGTTTAATAGTGTTTACAAATTGTTAGTGTATATATGTCATAAACAACTTTTGCAAAAATGGGTTATGACATATATACACTAACAAATAAATACAAAACTCACTTGGGATAATTATGTAAATGTACATAATTATCAAAAATACATACAAAACTCCCTTGAAATAATAAAAAGAAGACTTTAAGTTTTTATATGCTTTAAAGAATGGTAAAAAATTCGTTTTAGGCTCTGTTAACAAAGGTTATAAAAAAAATGCAAAGTTATAAAAAAAGGAAACAATCAAGTGAAAAGTACGCTGAAAAAAAGTTATAGAGCAATCAAAACAATTGATTTTAGAAGATTCCAGAGAAGATGATGATCTAGATTAAATAGATGAAGAATATCTTTCCCTAAAAAAGCCTAAGAAAGAACTATTTGTAAGATCACTTACTAATCCTTTAAAAGCTAAAGAGGTTTGTCATATTAGGCTTGGATAAGAATAGCGTGCGATTCCTGTCCAAGCCAGAGAGAGTTTTTTTTCTTTACAACTTGACCACGCCTATTTTGATGTTTTAACAATTTAAATGCAATTACGTTATGAATAACTTTTAATTGTTGATCTTTTCTATAGTTTTTATTTTACGCAAATAAAACCATAAGTATTTTTTTAATGATTGTTTACATAAATGCTTGTGTAAATTAATAAAAAATGTTATATATAAATTTTTTTTATGTAAGCATGTATTTTTCATGATAAATTTAAACATTTAATACGATTAATTTTTATAATTAAACTTATGATTTTTTAAAATCTTTTAAACAAAGATTTTATTTTTGAAAAAATTTTTTTTTTTTTCAATTACGATAAGAATGAATGAGTTGAAACCATGTATAATAATTTTTAAATTCGTTATGTAAAGCGCTTATTAATATAGTTGTAATGCTCAAATTGAAATTAAATTAAATTGCTTGTTGGCAGTTTATTTTATTTAAATTGCAGGCAAATTTTTATTTATTTTTTTCCTATTTTTATGAATAAAAGAATTAGAAGTCTTTTTTCTAACTAGACATTAATTAGAGCATGAAATTATCAAAAATTACTATTTTAAAAAGACTACGTTAGTTAAAAAAAAATTTTTTTTAATTTTTAAAAAAAAATAAATATTAATACAATTTAAAAATATAAAAACAGCACTTTTTAATAAATTTGATAAAATTTGTTCATTTATTAAACAATCATTAGTAATAATTTGTTACTTAATTTAAAAGCGTTTCGCTAAACTTTAATAAAACGTTTAAAAAGATTTATTTCAAACGTGATTAAAAACATATCAAAAAGTTTCGCTTCGAGTTTAAGTTTTTATTTTTATTTTAGTGTTTATGTAATTTCTTTTTCGTAAAGAAATTTTTTCGTTAGTTTTTTTTTTTTAACTTTTTTCCAATCAAAACATATAAACAATCGTGGTCAAGTTGTCAAGAAATAAAATAATTTGCGTGGTCAGCAATAGCGCTTGATCGCACGGCATTCCTGTCCAAACCTGTCATATAGCTGACCACTTGAATCTATCTCTTAATCAAGCAACAGGGATGACAGCTGCAATACTAAAAAGTAGGGGAGTTGATTTAGAGACTGTGGCTATTTAAAAAATGTTGTGTAATCAATATTGTCAAGAAAATAGGGCCATAATGAAAGATAAAATAAAATCATTGTTTGTGGCTCATGAATTTTGTGTTTTGCACAAGGATGGGAAAGTGATGAAGGACCTTTATAGAAAACACTCAGATAGTCTAGCAATATTAATTTCAAAACAAGGTAAGTTGTTAAGCATTCCAGAAATAATGGATAGCACTGGATTTAGTCAAGTTACAGCTAGATTTTTTTTTGTACAGCAATGGGATTTAGCAGATAATATAGTTGGATTGTCTTTTGACACAACTGCTTTAAACTCAGGGTGGCAAAATGATGCATGCATAAAAATTGAAATATATTTAGAAAAATAGTTGTTTTATTTTGCATGCAGACATCAAATACTGAAATGACGTTGCTGAAATGTACTTCTTTAGAGATTCTATGGGCTATAATGAGGTAACTACTACAAGGCTGAGAGATATGTTTTTGCTGCTCTTGTATATGTCAAGCACTAGTTAACATGCCCCCTTGGAGTTAAAACAGTTTTTTAATTGTTTTTAAAAACTTTGTCTGACAATGAAAAAAAGAATATTGTTAAGAAACTCCAATTTTACCAATATGGTGAGCTAAAAAAAGGTACACTAACCTTTCCTGTAGTGTCAAAAAATACAAAAATTCCATCATTGTTTCAACAAAACTCTTGGCTTCTGTTTGAAACCCTTGGTGTAAACACTGAGTGGCCTGTGCAAACATGGATGAAGAACAAAGACTATCTTAATGCAATGAATTTTAAAAAAAATGTTAGAGTTGTTAATGATGCTGCTGAGAGTGGTGTAAAATTGATGCAAGACTTTTCACTGTCCCTCACAAAAGATGAAAAAAAGTGTGTTACAAGTAGTTGAAAACCACAGAAAGTGTTTTACAAAAATTGGTTGTTCAAAGTTTATAATGATTATTCAAAGTTTTTTTAGAATGAAAAAAAACTTTGAATAAACTTTTACTTTTACTTTTTCCTATTTAAATCAATTTGTAATTTTGTGTATTCCTTCATATTCAAATGTAAAATAAGCTAAAAAGTGTGTTGTTATTTCTTTAATTATATTAGTTTTGACAGTTACTCAATATAAGAAATACCAATAATACTATATATGAGAAATACCAATAAACATGAAAAATTAGTAATATTTATGATATTTTAATTCCGATATTATACTTGTTATCATGGCATTTTTTTCCTGTAAAATAAAAGTTAAAACTGAATTTACTTGTTTGTTTACTTACAAAAAATTATAGATTAAAACTTAATTAAAATATTTGAAAAAACCAAAAAATAACTTTTTGGGGGGACTTGGGACAAGGGTTAGGGTTAACATTTTGGGCTGAAGTTTAAGGTTTTTACAATACCCTTTACCAGAAAACAGCCAGATTGTCAGACAGCCAGGGAGATTGACATTTTAAACATTGATTTTTTCACAACACCCTATTATACCATTTTCCACAGCATTAATTAGCCTCCCAAAGTTTTATAACATTTTCCACAGCACTTATGTAGCCTCCTAAAGTTTTATAACATTTTCCAAAGCATTTATTAGCCTCCTAAAGTTTTATAACATTTTCCAAAGCATTTATTAGCCTCCTAAAGTTTTATAACATTTTCCAAAGCATTTATGTAGCCTCCTAAAAATTTATAACATTTTCTACAGCATTTATGTAGCGTCTTTAAGCTTTATAATATTTCCAGCAGAGTTTATCTAACGTCTTTACACTTTACAATATTTTTAGCAGCATTTATGTAACCTGCTTAAAAATTGATTTCATCATGTCAACTGTTAATCTATGTTGTTAGAACTTAAAGTTTGCAGATGGTGAAAGGTTGAGCAGCAACCCTAAAAGTATTTGTAGAAAATAGAAAAAGATGCAACATAACAACAATGGAACAATAATAAAATTTACAAAATAAAATAACAACAAAAATAACATTTACAATGTTATTTTTGTCTAAAGAAGAGAGAAGAAGGTCATCGTAAGAAGAACCAGCCTATATATGACAATAGTACTAAACCTAAACTACAGAGTACTGAGGAAATAGTATTACATACATTTTCAATTTGATAAAAACAACATCAAAATGAGTGTGGCCTTTTTTCAACAAAAAAAAAGTAAGATTAAAGAGTCACTTATAAAAAAATGGCTATTATTACTACTAAGCCACTATTAAGGAGGCACAAGCAAAAATCTATGAGTAGAGTCAAGAAGAACCAACATTCATTATCTTAGGTAGAAAAAAATGTAACACATATTTACTACGCCAGCTTAATAAATAAAGAAGGTTGCAAGGTTGGTCAACAAAAGTTTTCTGCTTATATCTAAATTCTTTGCCTAAAAGGCTTTTTACAAGAAAGTAGCTTGATACAGCCTGTGCAGGATTCCAGTATATGGTGTGCAGGGTGAGCGAACCGATTGTAAATACTTTTATATGGTAAAGTCAATTTATTGAGTATTTATAATTTTTGAGTTGGTGTAGGTTGAGCTCATTATATTTGACATAGAGAGTCATACTGTGGTTGTCACATAGTCATTGCACGGTTTAGTTAAAAGACTTTGGCTCCTCACAAAAAGACTTTAAAAACAGAATTCAAAACAAAATTCACAAATGGCTAAACTCTTTTCTATTTAACCAAACACAATGTACTAAGTGAGTATTACCTGAATAAATAAACAAGCAAAACTGCAGCAAAACATAATACTTAAACATAAACATAATATTGTTTATGAAATAAACATCACTGTTAACTCGCTTACTAACCATTCCACATATTCCAACTCATTTCTCCCCATTCAACACTAATTTAAAAAAAATTCTAGTATACTTATTAATCAGTTAAACCAAAACTATTCCAAAAAAAGTTTTTAGATTTTTGAATGAGAAAATTAAAAATTGAAAAATAAAATTTGGTTTAATACCCCTAATATAAATGTTTCCATTCATTATAAATGTTTCCATTCATTGTAAATGTTTCCATTCATAATAAACTTTTTTCCATTTATAAATATTCTCAATAAGCAGAAAAACATTTAATAATACAATAATAATTATTATTAATAATAAAGATAAAACTACTAAAATTTAAATTACTAAAATTTAAAAACTCTTTTTAAAACCTCTTTAATAAAATTATGTTACCTTACAAAACAAGTTCCTGGAAGAGGTAATGATGATGTTTGTTTTTTGATTTTAAACAAAGCTTTATAAGGAGACTCAATATATCCAACTTTTAAAATAAAATTGTAGTTTTTTGAAGCCAACAAAGTTTCAACATTTATAACAAGATAAGAGCTTTTAAACCCAGTTGTTGTTGAGTTTTTTAGTAATAACTCTTCAGGCCATTCACCATCATCGTTTAAGACTTCCCAAATATAAGACAATCTAGCATATAAAAATATAATATGGCATATTATCATTTAATTGAATATCATTGAATTTTTTAAATTTAATATCATTGAATTTTTTACACATAAATTTATGTTTACAATCTAAAGATAAGTACTAAATTAAAATGGAAACCCATCTCTAATAGATATAAATTACAATGAAAATTAGGCACTAATTTTCATTGTAATTTAAGTACTAAATTAAAATGGAAACCTATCTCTAATAGCTATAAATTACAATGAAAATTAGGCAATGAGACATATTAACTAAACATTCTGATTCTTTAATTAAATTTCATATAGCAATTCCTAAATTTGACATTTCATTAATTTAATTAATAAAAAAAAGTGAAAACACAATTTCATTAAATTTTTTTATTAAAAACTTTCAATGAAAATGCTGTTAATAAAAAAATAATTTCATTAAAAATTTCTTTCTTGTTTATAAGCAACTTTTGTTGCTAAAAATAAGACAACTTCTGAAAAAATAAAAAAAATAATAATCAAAAAGCAACTCATTGGTAAATATTCTGACAGATGATATGGGTTTGCTAGAATTAAATCATGCCTAACAAGTATATTAGAATTATCAGACGCCATAACTGATTGCTAACCTTTAGTGATCATTTGAAACTTATATGATTTAGAACCACAGAATGCCCCTCACCTTCCACATAACCCTAAAACTTGAAAGATATGCAATCAAAGAAAATACACGGTGTATTTCCTTAGTTAAAATTACAGTTGACAGTTAAATATTTTTATGAAATAAAAAGAATTAAAGAATAATCTCTTTTTTTTTCGATTAGCTATTTTTTGTTTCATTGATTGATATAAATACACAATTAAGAAATTTAAAAAGTTCTCTAAAACATTACTACTGTTATTAAATATTTTATTTGTAAATATAAAAAATATAGCTTAAAAAATAAAGTTAAATAAAACTTACTGATATTCATCGCAGTTCAAGCAAGAAAAATAATAAATAACATGATCTCGTATGTTTAACTTTTCTGCACAATTTGTTATACAACTAAAAAAATAAATATATATATATATATATATATATATATATATATATATATATATATATATATATATATATATATATATATATATATATATATATATATATATATATATATATATATATATATATATATATATATATGTATATATATATACATATATATATATATATATATATATATATATATATATATATATATATATATATATATATATATATATATATATATATATATATATATATATACAGATATAGTAACCACAAATCATCATTCAGAAATGTTAAATACAAAAAGTTCACCACCCTATTAAACTATATTGGGATTTTAAAAAAAATTTAACGAAACCTCTATGCTAACATGGTCTATTCTGAAGTCTGTTACCACCTACTCAAATATTTCTATATGATGCCCACTATGTGTGTATGAGAAATTTGCTATTAAAACCTGAGAAACTGTTAAATAAAAGTACAATAAAAGTGCGGCCACAAAAATAAATTCTTATTAATAAATTACAAAGCTTGCTACAAACCCAACTAACAACTAACAATGACTATATTACTCTATCTAGGCTAACCCACTAAATTACTCACATACACAGCTGTTATAATATATTTCATATATATGTTTTTATATTAATTTTTAAATTTATATTTTTTTAATAAATAAATAATACAGATTATCACATAAAATATTTTGAACAACATTTACAACTATTACTTAACTAAAAATCAATTAATTAATCCTAACTACTAAATGATTTCCATTGTCAAGTTCAAATATAAAAAGTAACTTTAACTAAACAAATATAAATTGTAACTTTAACTAAACAAATATAAATCGTAACTTTAACTAAACAAATATAAATCAAATCGTATCAAAATAAAACTGATGATTGTGGTAACACAAGAAACTCAGTTGCAATATTAAACCATATTATAAAAATAAGCATTTAGCTAATTCCTGGTACAGCGGGTAACAGTACCATATATACTATATATATATGTATATATATATATATATATATATATATATATATATATATATATATATATATATATATTTATATATTTATATATTTATATATATATATATATATATATATATATATATATATATATATTTATATATTTATATATTTATATATTTATATATTTATATATATATATATATATATATATATATATATATATATATATATATATATATATATATATATATATATATATATATATATATATATATATATATATATATATACATATATATATTAAATTTGATACAAAGATCTTAATAAAAAATAGAAACATGGTTATTTTTTCAAACCTCAAAAACTTTTAGGTCGGCATTGCCAAATGCAAAATAAAGTAAAATATGGTAAACCTAAATGCAAGTTGCAAAATAAAATAAAATAAACCTAAATGAACCTAAATGAGCTTTCTTGGAAAGATCAGAATACCAGATACACTATAAGAAGACTTATGTAGAATGCTAAACTTTATCAAAAACTTTAGAAATATCAAAAAAAATAGCCTTAACCTCTCCACATCTATCTAACGCACAATAAAACCTATTGGTTAATACTATTAGCAAATCAGCTGTAGAACAAGAAGATCGAAATCCATATTAATGATCAGAAAGTAAGTTATTAGATTCAAGATGAGAGATTAAGTGTTTGTTAGTTAAAGATTCAAAAATATTGCTTTTAATAGGAAAAAGACTAATGAGATGGTAGATAGGCGAATCAGATCACTCTCCAGAATTTTTGAATATAGGGGTAACAGATGCCACTTTCAAGCATGCCAGAAAACAAGACTCCATAAGTGTTTGTTAATTAGTTTTAAAAGTATAAATAACAGCTCTGGAGAACACTTCTGCAACACTATAACAGGTATGTTGTCCAGGCCACAAGCTGTAGAAGAGTCTAAGCAGGAAATCACTTTAGATGCAGAAGCTGGAGTCATAGGAATGTCAAGCAATGGATCCACCTGTTTGTCAGCAATACCAGGTAGAACGCAACTAGTGGAATCAAGAGATGCTATTGATGAAAAGTTTTTAGCAAACAATTCAGCTTTGTCTTTAGGTGAAGTGACAAAATCTGCACCATACAAGAGAGGTACAACAGATTCTATCTACTATACTGTTAAAGACTCTCCAGAGTCACAAGAGCCTATTTTTTGAAATGAAATATATGATTTTATGACCTGAGAATAGCGGGCTTTGGTGTTAGACAAAACCTTTTAAAATGGTTTCTATCAATAATAAACAGTCTGTTTTCATAATTGTTTTGCTGATCAATATGGAGGTTTCGATTAGAAATTGCAACAGCACAATGTGAGGTAAACCAAAGAGAAGAGTGAGGCCTAATTTAGAACAGTCGGGAGGGAATAAAGAATTCCATGCCAGCCTGAATCCAAGAATTTACGTAAAAAGCACAATTTTCAGCAGGAAGACAAAGATTACTATTCAAGGGCCATCAAGAAGAAAATCACAGAAAGAATCCCAGTCAGCTTTAAGGTAATTGTAAGAGGTATAATGATAGGAGGAATCTAATGATGAAAAAGAATGAGATAATAGTTTTAGAGAAATCGAGGGTGAATGTTAAGAAACTGAGCATTGACTAGGATCAGAAACAAGACATATATAAATATATATATATCGAGTAAAGAAGGTAAGTGATTTGGGATGGTTGGAAAACAAGTCGGAAAGTTAACAATTTGAGTTAGAGATTGAGAATGGCAAAAGTTGTGGGCCTTAACATCTGCAGAGTTAATGACACTAAAGTCAAGCCATTCAGTGTGATGAGCAATAAAGTCACCGACAACAACAATTTTGGCTGATTGATAAAGAGAGAAGGTCAATATATCAGAAAGAATGCAGTCTTGAGATGAAGGAGACCCATACAGAACAAAGAGGTGGTAGAGTAAAGTGGTGCTAAACAAAAGCACATAAAAAGATAGTTGGTGGATTCAAATCTAGTTTTCTGACAAATGGGTAAATTCTTATGAATGTAAATGCTAAAGCCAAGCATGTGAATATTGGATTCCTTAAGAATTAAAGGAAGATAACCATCAACACTAAGATCACATGATGAGACAGCTGAACTCAAACTAGTCTTGCAAAAAGCAAGTAGGTCTGGTAAACTTTGCAAGAGATAAGACTCAACATAAGAAAAGTTACATTGAAGACCAAAAATATTTGTGAATAATAGGTTTAGAGAACTTGGTGATTACAATGGTTTTTTGTGTTTTGTAGTTTTTGGTACTTTAGTTATTTTTAAATTTGTTAAAGAACTTGACGCAAAGCATAGATAATACTCAGTACTTTAGTTGTCCAAGCAATTGCCTTAATACTATTAATAAACCTTAAGCTGTAACAAAGGGCTCCAAATGTGGTTTTGACAATGCACACCATAAGTATAAACAGGGACACCATCAATGCACAACATGGCACTGTTAGTACTCTGATATCTTACAGTTGTTGATTGATTCAGCCTCTCTGAGAGCTACCACAGAGTTTGGAAATCTGACTACCAGCCAACCTCAGAACCACAAAACTGAGTTTTAGAGCTGTACCCTCATTAGGAGATAATAGAATGAGTTGCCTAGTTATAAAAACAGAGACACAAGCAAAAGAAGATCAAGAAGATCCAGCGTTCAACATTCTAAACTGGAAACAATGTATCATAAGTACATCTGAGCCAGCTAATTAGATGATGGAGTGCAAGGCTGGTCAACAGATAGAATCTGTTTACCCCTTAAATTTTGCCTTGAAAGCCTTCTACAAGACAGTAGCTGGATGTGTTAAAACATCTGCCCAAGATGAGTATTTTTATCAAGACACCATCTCCAGCCTTTACTCAACCAAGAGCCCCAAGGCATGGGATGTTTTAAGTTGGAATTGGTTTCTCCTAGCCTTTATCTAAAAAAGCGTATCCTACAAGGCAACAGGACATGAAGCAGGTTGTACTGGGTTACATGTTAACAGCAGCAGGATAACCTGACCTGACCTGAATATAAAGATATGCAGTAATATCCAATACTAGTTTTGCAATTTTGCACTCTCCCCAACAATATATCAAATCTGTTTGCAATGGATATGATATATGGCTTCCAAGAAAGATTAGAAGATATAATTTTATAAGAGGAAGGGTTGATGACTCATTGAGTATATTATTGTTCATAAATGTAGGAAGATCTAGATTGTTGCAAGAATGGTTAGCTGAAAAATTTATATTTTATCTGAGTTCACCAGCCACTGAGTTCTCTATGCTGTACCAGAAGTTAGATCATTTTTAAGGTCAAATGCCCCCTCCAAGCAATCAGAGAGTGTTGTCTTTTTACCAAGACAAGAATAAATAGTAGCATCATTAGCAAACAATACCATCTTAGATATGAGAATTTCTGGGAGATTGTTGATATTAATTTAAAAAAGTATAGAGCTGAGGATAGAACATTAAAGAACCCCTGTTCTGAAGTTACAGGAAATGAAGAAGAGTGCTGTCCATCGGGAACAACTTTTATACTATGATTGGTAACGAAGGATTTAATGATCCTTAAGGTGTTACCTGATACACTGGAGAAGACCAGCATGCCTAACTTTATCAAAGGATTTGGAAATGGCATGAGAAATAACCCTAACCTCTCCACATTAGGGTGTTTCATTCCCATTAATTTTCGAAAAAAGTTATGTTATTTGCATAATGAGGTAAATAATAAGGAAAAAAAAATCTGTAAATTTTTCAAAATTTTAAAATGTCATCTGCAGGTTGCCATCTCAAAAAAATGCGTTTAATTAAACTTTATTCAACTTTAAACTTAAATAACCTAAAAAATAATTTATTTTATGTTATGTTAGGGGTTGTCCATAAAGTACGTACACTTTTAATTGTTTATCCCACACAACCCTCCCACCCCACCTGACCCTCTTCCCTACATTTTGCTACACGCTTTTTGAGTGGCATAAGTGCAAAGCAGTTACAAAAACTGGCATAAGTGCAAACTGGCATAAGTGCGCCGAATAAAATTTCAAATATTGGCATAAGTACAAATTAGTATTTACCTTTTACCTCCTTAAAAGTACCTACACTTTTAACCTACCTACACAACATTTGAAGATATAATTTTTGATTTAGTGTCTCCTTACTTTTTATAATTGACCCATTACCCCATATCTCATAGTGTGCCTATTGCAGACCCCTTTTGCATCCCAGCGTACAATCTTTATGGACAACCCCTTACTTGGTGTATATGTTAAAAGTTTTTAGATGAACACTTGGCCAAGGTTTCAGAAAAATTTTTAATGTCTAGAGATCGCCATATTAAAAATATAAACCTTCAAAAAAGATGTTTTTAGGCGTAAGTTTTTTCTTAAAAATATTTATTAATAATAAAGATACTATTAATTTAAAAACTACTATAAATTATAAATTAGTTTTTATTTCAAAAAAGATTTTGCTCTCTGTGTTGTTCAACAACTTGATAAATTAACTGACGTTGCTTTTCATTTTTTGTACACTTGCGAAAATTGCCAATAAGCTACAATTATTTGTTATTTCTAATTTTTTAACAAAATTTTCTGCAGTTCTATAATCTTGGAAGAACTAATGGAAAAAACATCAAAAAATTTTGGTTTCTTAATTTAAAAAATTTTTGATGTTCTTTACCATCATTGTTCTTGTAAAGTCTAACAATTTTTTATTAATTAAAGATAAAATAACAAGCTCTTCCAATTAATAACAGATGTGAAAAATTGCATCAAATAAAAAAACGTTTGAGTTGTAGCTCATTATGATGATGGCTATATGCTAGCCAAAGGAAAGATCTCATTAACTGAAATTCGAACAAAAAAAAGTTACTGCATCTTCCTTATAACCTGTGTTGCTGGTTGTTTGTAGCATATACCAACAATGCTTTCTAAAATTTTCCAATCTTGCGCAAGTTTCAGGGCCGCATCACATTGAATTTTACCTGTTGAATCTTTAATCAAAGTTACAATAATAAGCTTTGATATATAAGATATATCAATAAGACCTGCAAATAAATATTGAGTTAAAATAAAAGTTTAAATATTGAGAATATATAATTCTTTAAAAATAACAATCAGAAATATACATAGTATATAAATAATAGATTAGTTGATACTGACATAATCATATCATTAAGTTTATCCCACCTTGAATTATAGTAGAGGCTGTTGGCAAACTGATAAACAACATTTTTCTGCCACAGATGCTGTAACTTCTGAAAAATTCTTTGCTGATATTTTAAGTGAATTAGTTAGATGTCTTTAACTAATTCACTTAAATATCAGCAAAGAATTTTCTTTGGAGGTAAAGGAGTAAACTCTATATCTTATTGACATTCTTTATTAGCACTAATAACTAGTTCACTAACTTCAGAAGAACTAGGTTTTTGATTATTGAAAGTTGATGGTAAGTCTAGCTTCTTGATGCTCTAAACAATTTGATTGATGCGAACTGTCTTGTGAAACTTTCTGCTACACTTTTGATCTTCATAAAATGCCCAATCTTTTTTCCATTTTTTAGGTTTTTGTGATATCAACAGCTGTTCAAATGCATTTACTGCTGAAATATTGCAAAATTGTTCAACTTCATTGCAAAAATTTTCTTTACAAGTTTTAATATTTCGACTTGACAGTTCAGTTTTTTCACCATTTTCCCCATCAATTTTGTAAACAATGAAAGGCAAGTGTTATCTGATTGAATTAGTACTCCAGCTTTTTCCCAAACTCTTCTTAGCTCACCAAGAACAAATTCAAAAATATCTATTGAAGAAGTGTTGCTTCTTGAATAAAAATATAAATGAGCGTATCTAGATAACACATACTTCCATGTTGGTAGGCAAATGCAGCGTGAAAAAGTTATCGGATTCAGGGTGACCAATTAACCAATCTCGGTTATTTTTTCTGAGGTTTGTCATGGTAACAAAATATTTAGTGAAAAAAAAAATTTTTATAATTTAAAATTATTAGATTTAAAGATTATTTTTTTAAATTTCAATTTTTTTTCAATTGATAAAAATCATCCAAATTTTTTTATATAAGTTTATGAATTTTTTTTTTTTTTATTTACAGACATGTTTTTGCCTATTATTTACTTTGTTATGCAAGTAATGTAAAAATTTTCAAAAAAAATGCTAGGAAGCAAACATCCTATTCACCCTATTCTATCTCATAATTGATAAAACCTATTTGTTAATAACATTAACAAATCAGCAGTAGAATGAGAAGATCTAAAGATAAGTTATTAAATCCAAGATAGATTAAGAGAGATTAAAAAATTAAGTGTTTGATCCATTTTTTCACCCTTAAACTTCCCAAAGTTCACGGGGAAAAAAAGTCAGATAAAATATTGTCTAGCGGATAATAAGTTGAACCAATTGCTAACTTGTTTATTTTTTACAAGACTTGAGTTCATTTGATAAAAAAATTTGCTCAACTAGAACTTTGAAAAGTAATAAAATACTTGCAACGCTTCGTTAAAAAATTAAATATCTAGCGTAATATTTTTAAATATCTTATAAATCAAGCATGAAAAATTTATCAAACTTCACTTATACCATTGATTTCTAACAGGTTGGATCACATTCTAATAATTAATGGTTATTTTATTTAAAATTTAAAAACATCAAAATGATGAAATATCAAACATTTTTTGTCAAATATAAGCTAATAAACTAAATATTTTCACTGATATCTTCCAATTTGGTTAAGATTATATTATGAAGATCATGCTATTGATACATATTTGCACTATAGTGAGTATAGTACTTATCTCTATGATTTAGATAGAGGTGATTTGACAAAGCCAACAGTCATTTTATTTCAATTTTGTTTTCTTTTATGTACCTTTTATTACACTGGATCTGATTTTTTATTAACAAGATCTGACTGTTTACATTCCTATTACTATTTTACATTTTTATTTTCAATCAATCAACAATTTTTATTTTTTGAATTACTTTAAAAAATTGTGTGAAAAGTTATAAAACCTTGTCAAATATTTTTTTTAAATAATTACCTAAAGCTAAGCACTTCATGTTCTTCGAAGGAGCCATCCCTAAAGAAGCCAACTTAAAAAGAGCCAGCTCAAAAAATTTTAAAAGTAAATAGTTTGAAAGGTTTTTTTTAATGTTTGAAATTCTTTTAAATAAATTTTTTATTGAAATTTGTTATATTACTTCCTGCTTAATAAATATAAAATAGTTTTGTCACCAGTATTTTTATTTAGTATGCTAGAAATAAATCATTTTATTAAACTAATACATAAAATTTAATACATAAAAAAAAAAAAAAAAAAAAAAAGTTAACTAAATTGGCCTCTAGTTTTTAAATCGTACCAGTTGAGTAGGCGAGGCCTTAGTTTTAGATGAACTTGATCCTACTTCATACTTGTAGAATATTTTACCCTGATGAAAAAGTACAATAATGATTATTATGAAAACAAGTATGAAAGAAATAGGTTTATATATTATAAACTATTAAAAAGTTTCAGAATAGAACGAATGATGAATTGATTGTTAATGAAAAATTGATATAGCAAATATTCAAAAAACTGCATAAGGCAGATGAAATCAGAAGAAATATAATATATTATTTGAAAAATATAATAAATGGAATCACCAGCATTCAAATAGAGACACATCAGTTTCCTCTCACCCTACCTCACTTCAAAGACTATATATACAAAATAATTCTTTATAAGAGTGTATGCTGACAATATATTACTGTATAAAATAACAAATAGTTATATTATTATTATAATACTAAACTAAATTTTAACAAAAATAATTTTTAACATAATACATACATGATCTTTCCATTTGGTAGTTCACCAGGGCTAAAGGTAACCTCTTGTATAAAAGAGCTGCTCTGTAAATATTTCCCAACAAGATTTGTTGCAACAACTTGAAATTGGTATGTTACTCCTTCTAAAAACATATATGTACTAAATTTAAGTTCTGGTCCATCAAAAGGTATGTCCATCCATGATTCATTAAAACATGTATTGGAATCAAATGTTAAATTAGCCATTTTACTAGCTGCCAAGCTGTTTAAAGCAAACGAAATGTTGCTCACAGTTCGGCATTTCCATTTATATAGTAATCCTTGATATACTATTTTTGGCTGACTACCTCCTGAACTCACAAGAGCACTGATACTAAAATTTTGATAAGAAATATTGAAACCTTGCCTCTGGTTGTAAGCAATTGTACAAAATGCACCATTACTTATTTCAATATAAAAAGGCAAATCAATAACCATAAAGTAAGAAATATATGTGACTGTAATCATATTGTACGTAAACACTAATGATAAATTATATGGTCCAATATCCAAATTGTCTCTTAAAGAATACACAATTTTCTTGTTTGCTAAAAGCCCATCAGATTTACTTGTTTTATTATTTCCTGTTAATATCCAATAAAAACTAATATTTGATGGTAAACAAACATTGCTGTCTTCATCTACATATGCTATAAAATCTTTATTAACACTCAAGACTTGTAAAGGATTTTCTAATGTTCCATATTTGAAAGTAATTTGTGGAAATGTACAATTTAGAATTTGAATATAAATTTTATTACTTGTAACTTGCAATGCATTCTTTGCAACTATAATAATAGTATAGTTTCCAACATTTTTATATGTGTGTGATAAAGCAAAAACTAAAGGACTTTGTCTTTGTGACTGGTCACTTAACTGGAAGAAATCATCACCCCAATCTACTGTGTATATGATATAAGACCCAAACTCTTGATATATTAACAATGTTAATTCTTTTTTTAAAGGTAGAGCTAAATAAGGATATGCTTCTGAAGTTGGATTTGTTGTTATTTTGATTGATGACATAACACAAAATACTGTAACAATAGCATAGTCAATTATTTCAGGGTTTGTAAATAAATAGATTGAATTGCAAGGCTTGATTATGAACTGTATAGTATACTTCCCACATTCAACATAACTAAAAAAAAAAACATAAAATAGGAAAAGTATTTTGAACATAATTGTTTTTACAAACAAATATACCAATAAAATGTCAACAAATTACACCAAAACAACATCAAAAAATTGCAACAAAAATGGGTGAGGGTTGGGTGGGTGAACTTTGGGTGGATGAGGGTGGGTGATTTTTGATATAGTTAAAATAAGTTTATTTTAAAATTTTCAAATAAACTATTTAAACTCAATTGTTAAAAATAATTATAAATAGACTTTTCAGTTAGTTTTTAAATAAACTATACAAGCTATTTAGTTAAACTATTTTAACGATGTCTAGAGAACTTGTCTCCTTAGACCACCTTAATTTTGTGAACCAATCTCATCTTTAAGCAAAAGTTTGAATAACATCTGCATAAACACCAATGATAATTTAAAATAAACTTGTTTTTGAAACAAAAACTATTTTAAAATCTTCAAAGATTTCAAAATGGTTTTTGCTGAATTGGTAAGTTCACAATGCATTGGTAAGTTCACAATCTTAGATTGGTTTTTATTTGAAAAAATGTAAGACTATTTTTGCAATTTGTTGTCTTTCAACGTTTTTTAATTTTTCCATGTCATTTACCTTACCTTGGATGTCATTTTAAATGTTTTCAAAGTAATTTGTTCTGCGCTCTATACTACTATATCACTCTAACACAAATCTCTTTATTAACTTACTGATGATGGGCCCATCATTAGTAACAGAGCAATTTTTTGCTATCTGTCAATATCATCTTTTTAATTCAACTTATATATATATACTGTATATAAGTTGAATTAAAAAAAAAGGGTTACGGTATTCAGGGTACAGATTCACAAAACTTTCTTACTCTTGCATAACTTACGGAAATCGTACACAAAATTTATTTTATTGTAACTATTTGGTATTCACAAACATTTCGCAGCATTTGCCTAAATTTAAGTTTGCGCAAAAGCTACACTTTACTAACCTAAAAAATCTAAAGATTTTTTGTGTAAAATTTTTTTATAATTTAACTTAAACTTACGCAAAAAAATATATAGATTTTTTGCATAAGTTTAATTTAAATTATAAAAAAATAAGATATCATTCGTGTACATTTTAACTAAAATAAACAAGATAGTATAAATGTATCAATAGAGCAACTATTATATATACTTAACTACTTTTACAATTACTATAGCAACTTTTTTTTTTCAAGTTTAAATCTAATAAAATTGGTTAATTAGTGAAAATAAATTTAAACTTGAAAAAAAAAATAATGAAATTAAATTTAATCAAGATTTTAAGGAATTAAAGATACATAAAAAATATCTATGAAAATATGCTTTGTTTGAGACTCATATTGACATACTTTAAAATAATTTTTTTTTTTTTACAATATTATGGTAGTTTCTATATTCAAACTTTCAGTGTTTACTTATATTATAACAAGATACTCATTGAAGCAAAATCATTAACTTAGCTTAAAGTATGAAGATGTTATAGCATAAACAACTAATTAGCCAAAATTTATCCCAAAGTAGCTCACTTTAGTGAGCTACTTTGGGATAAATTTGAGCTAATTTGAGATAAATTTCACCATAACTCTGCTCAAGAATAAAATCAAAAAATTCAATGACTTTATCATATATATATTATTATATACTATATTATTATTATTATTATTATTATTATTATTATTATTATTATTATTATTATTATTATTATTATTATTATTATTATTATTATATACTATATTACTGTATAATTGTACAAAATTTAAAAACACTACAAGAAGCAGTTATTCAGGTTTTTTATTGCAGCATGCTAAAAATAGCATTCTGAGAAAAAAATAATTTAAGATAATTAAAATTGAAAAAAATAAGTTAAAATATTAAAAAGACTTTTATTTCATTTCTAAAGATTTGTTATCACTCCTCAATGTAAGAGCAGTAGTCTAATTTTATAAAAGCAGCAATCTAAACTTATAAAAGTTTTTATAAGCTTTATTTAACTATTTAAGTTTCATACAAAAACTAATATTCATGTTTAGCAAAACTGAAAAATTTTAAAATTACAAATAAAAATTCTATAAAATGTTAAAATTCTGGTAACCCTATTTTAAATTTCAATAAAAATATCAATTGGAAGATTGAATTAAACTAAAATCACTAAAAACATCCAGCATCATAAGTTATTTTATCTCATTTATCTCGATCAATTAAACCATTTAATTTTGCTCTAATTTGTTTCCAATGTTTTTAATTTATCACTTGATTTTTTTGCTATATTTTGAACTTTTTTTTCTTATTGATTGCAAAACATTATGTAATTATTACCAGAATTATTAGTTCTAAATAAACATTTAGTTTACCACTTTATCTTTTAAACACCATTTTAAAATTTTTGCAATTAAAGAAATTTTATTGTTTTGAGTTTTTTCAAGGTACCTTTCTAACATGTTTTTATCAGATAAGTCAATAAATATTAGCTTGATTATGTAATTACAACAGACTGTCTTGGTTTTTCTATTCACACATGTTTCAATAATATTGTCTGCTTAAAATTTGCACCAGGTATTAATAATTCCACAACACATTGAATGTCTTAATTCTGAAAATGATGCCTCAAATTCACAACACCACAGCTTTTGTAATGTCCTTTTCCAATTTCATGCATTGCAATTACTTAATATAAATTTATATCAAAAATTAATAGAATTTTTATTTAAAACTTTTTTTACTGGTATAAAACTTCATATTTCATATTACACTCACTTAAATTTTGTGATTTTGTGAAACGGAATAATTTAAATAGCAACAAAGAACTTAAATTTTTTTATATATATATACTATCTATATTCATGTTAATAGACTTGTTAATAATATCAACATCAATTAAAAGATTATTGTGAGGTTGTGTAATAGCTTCATTATCGACAATGAAATAGTTGATTAAGATTGTTAAAATTTAGGCACAAAGTAATGATGATTCTCCATTCATATTTCAAAAAAAACTCAATCTATTTTTTCGTCATCCTTTTTTTCAAAAAAACTTGAGAAGCACAAGTTTTTCTTCTCCTCAAAACATCGGTTTTTTTATTTTGCAATTAGAATAATATATTTATTTTACTCTTCACTAAAAAAAAAGAATAATAAAGAGTTATACCAACTAAAATTAAAAAGAGTTATACCAACTAAAATTAAGAATAATAAAGAGTTATACCAAAAAAAATCTACACATAAAAAAAAATTACATAACATTTTAGCACAGTAAAGTGGTTTGGTTATATAATT